ACTAAACCCACGTATGTCCTTGATCAGTAACGGGTGGTAAAAAAAATCGGCAAGATTAACGTGAAGCGAGATCATTACTGTAAACTTCTTTGTCAGGAAGGATTTATGTTACACAGGCAAAAGGTAATGTATTATTTTATATCATTTGAAATGATTTGTTTTATATCACGAATTCTAAGGAACCTAATATCAGGGTCACGTGAAATTGCTCCGAAAGACTGATTACACGTGTGAAACCCCTCTCGAAGGTGTTAAGGTACTCAAGGGCATTTGGGTATTACGTTTGTGTTGCCCACGTGTGCCTATAAACGTCTCCAAACCGTGTCTGTTCGCTGAAAAACGTTCCGTTGCATTTACGTTTCGCTGGCAGCTATACTGTAACAAAGTAATACCAAACCCAAAAGCGTAAACAGCGTGCAATATTTTAATGCCTTTTTTCAACCTTTCTGAGCTACCATGATTAGTATGAATACACCTACTGTTCATATTGTTTTATGGGGTACACTGAGACACCTAGTTAGTATACATTACATCATTACTACATCTTTCCCTCCTTTCCGGTCTGTGTAGCTCAAATGGATTTATTTTACCCGGAAGAACAGTGTTAGCCCAATTTCAGGTCGAGGAACGTTGCAGTTAGAGTCATAAAGCGCATCCACTCCAAACTGGTTTGCAGGCCCGTAGCTGGTGCTGTGCCCGGCGTTACACATGCCATGACCAATATTCAGTGTGGAAAGGCAATCACAGTTATCGTCGTCAAGCAAAATCGACTTTACGCCATTTTGTTCACGGTACATGAATGAGTCTTGCTTTGCTTTTGGCTGTGTTCCTTTCAGAACCTCTGGATCCCAACTATCTTTCACGTTCTTAACCGTGCCAGCCAAGGTAGTCACGTGATCATGAAAGGCCAGCCATGCTGCATGTGCCACAACGTTGTCAGAGTCAAACTTCCACTTGTACTCGTTTCCTTCAGAGTCTATGGCAAGCATTTCCGTTGAATCCTCTCGAGCCCAGGATGGGATGCGTCCAAAGCAATACTGACTGTAGGAGCTGCAGTAACCATACGGGTAAGCTAACACATCACTCTCACCAACAGGCCAGGTTGCGTCTGCCGTCCACCACCAGAATGCTAGCCAGTTTTCTCCGTGGTTACATGAAGTCATATGATGCGCTACCTAAAAGTGAATCGAAGCACTTGTTAGAGAAGAGTGTACTGCTTCGGTAGTCATTAGAGTTTCACTGACTGGGATTACATGTAAGTTGTAAATTTGAATAAAGATGAAATATACAGCTAGGTCGTCTAAAGACCTATGATAAGAGATGGTTAAAAGACAGGCGATTTGTCGAACGGGTACGAGGGTATATATTAAAAGTATATCCACTTGATTGTCGTTTTCGTTTTTGATGCTATTTTTCAGGATTAAGTTATTTCCAAACATCTTTATTTGACGCAGAAAATGACGAATTAGGTAAAATATTTGTCATGAGGAATTACCTCTTCATCCTTGCAAAAGTACAGACTTAAGCCTACGGTAGGTCGCGGTGTGTTGCAGTGGTCATCATACAGTGCGTCAACGCCAAATCGATTCACGGGACCATAACTAGTAGAGAATCCAGCCGAACACATGCCGTGTCCAAGGCTGATGGTTGAAAGTCAATCGCAGTTGTCATCATCCAAGAGGAGAGACTTAACACCAGCTTGTGATCTGTACATGAAGGAATCTTGGTCGGCCTTCGGTGTAGTTCCTTTTATTACTTTAGGGTTCCATCGTTTTTTGTTAAGGATTGCTTTGTGTGGTGTTTCGGCGTGATCGTGGAAAGCTTTCCAGGCTGCATGGGCAGTTGGGTTTCCGGAGGAGAATTTCCAACGATAGACGTTTCCTTCGGTGTCAATCGCAAGCAGCTTGGTTCTATCTTCTTCAGCATCTGACGGAAGCCTTCCAAAGCAGTATACATCTGTCTCCTTGCATGTGCCAAAAGGTTTTTCCAGGACATCTTTTACGTCATTGCGCCACTGTCCGTCTTTTGGCCACCACCAGAAAGCTGTCCATTTGCATCCGTATCCTTCAAACGTCAACTTCTGGTCAGGAACTTTAAAGTAAATGGCCAATCCATTGTCAGGGCTTGGAAGATTACAAACGGGATCGTACAGTAGGTCGACCCCACGGGCCTTTGGATTAAAGTTACTATCGCAGACAGTTGCACCAAGTTGGATTGTCGAGAGGCAGTCACAGTTATCATCATCAAGTAACACCGATTTTATACCATTACTTTCTAGGTAAGCAAACGAATCCTGGTCAACAGCAGGTGATTTTCCGTTCAATATCACGGGATTCCAGGAGTCCTTGTTCAACACCGCACCAGAAGCTGTTTCTTTGTGGTCATGGAACGCACGCCATGCTGCCCCAGCAGTTGGATTAGATGAGTTGAACGTCCATTTGTAAACGTTCATTTGGGAGTCCTTGGCCAAAATCACAGTAGAGTCCTCCTCGAGCCACGATGGAAGCCGCTGAAAGCAAAACGGATCCCCACCTAAGCATGTTCCGAAGGGGTGTTCAAGTACATCCTTTGCCAGTTGTGATTCGCAAGAGGACCCTTCAACGCCGGCATTCCACCACCAGAAGGCCCTCCACCTTCCACCATAACCATGCAAGTCTGGCTGTCGAGCACGATAATACAGCGTCAGTCCAGTTGTTGGAACGGGGCCGTGACATCCACTGTCATAAAGAGCATCAACTCCAAAGACATTTGATTTACTATAACTAGTAGAATGGCCAGCATTGCACATTCCGTGACCAAGACTAAGTGAGGACAAACAGTCACAGTTATCATCATCAAGAAGAAGAGATTTAACGCCATTCTGCTCACGGTACATAAAAGAGTCTTGAGGGCGTGAAGGTGCATTTCCTTTTAGCGCAACTGGATTCCAAGGACTCGAATTAAGCACAGCTTTGTGTGCAGTCTCTTGGTGATCATGGAATGCAAGCCAAGCCGCATGTGAGACTGAGTTCTTGGGATCGAAGGACCACTTGTAAACTGTCCCTAAAGAGTCAACGGCCAGAACGTCTGTATCATTTTCCTTTAGCCATCTGGGGAGACGCTGAAAGCAATAGGTATCAAACTCTTTGCAAGAGCCGTATGAGTCTCTAAGGATATCGGTAACTTGCGCAGGCCAATAGGTATCCTTCTCGTACCACCAGAAAGCTTTCCAACCTCCGCCAAAATCTTCGAGAGTCAGCTTCTTAGCGGTTCGAAAAAACAGAGTAAGGCCGTCAGCTGGTGAAGGCCCCCGNTTTCCTTTAGCCATCTGGGGAGACGCTGAAAGCAATAGGTATCAAACTCTTTGCAAGAGCCGTATGAGTCTCTAAGGATATCGGTAACTTGCGCAGGCCAATAGGTATCCTTCTCGTACCACCAGAAAGCTTTCCAACCTCCGCCAAAATCTTCGAGAGTCAGCTTCTTAGCGGTTCGAAAAAACAGAGTAAGGCCGTCAGCTGGTGAAGGCCCCCGGCAACCTGGATCGTACAGTTTATCGACACCCGATACATTAACTTTGCTGTACTGGGTTTGGTGA